TCATAAATACCCCATTCAATAGCAGCCCCATCGTAAAAAATGGCAAATTCCCCCACTTCTTCTACTTCTTGGAATAACTTCGTAATGTGTGGTTGCCTTTTTTTGAATTCCTCAATTTCTATTTTCAAATATTCAGCATGTTCTTTTTCAATATCGCTGAGTGATTTTATGTCCTCGCTCATGCGGTTATTTTGACTTACAGCGTCATCCGAGGACTCTTCCGATTTGGATTTACTGGGGGATCTGTTGAGGAAGTTTGTAACTTTTGTGTGATGAGTATCGTATGGACTGTCATTCTCATCACGTTTTCTTTTTTTGCTTTCACGTTTTTCACGTATTGTCGTTTCGTTTGGAACTTGCTGTTTATAGGAAGTTCTTTCGTTGTAATTAAATGATTGAGCGTTTCGACAACTTGTCGCATTTATTTCTTTAGAATATTTTTGACTGGCATTATAGGAATGTTCGTTTCGACCTTTGGCCATATAACTTTCTTGAGAGCGTTTTCTCTTTGTGCCTTGTTTGTAAGAAGTTCTTTGATAGTAATTAGAGTACTTTTCGTCACGAGAACTTTTCGCATATCTTCCTCGAGAATCGTGTCGATTTCTATCTCCAGATGAATGGTAATAATCAGCCCGGTCGTCTTCTCTTTGACGTTCACTGGGCCGAGATTGATAACAATGAACACTCCTTTCCCTGGCTCGAAATCTAGATTTTTTTCCCTCATAATCAAAGTCACAGCGGTCACAGTAGGGACTTCTTGATCGTCTTCTGTTGCATTCATCGTCGCTGGAGGAGGAATCGTAACGAGGAAGTCTTCCATTCCTTGATCTGGATCTTCTTCTATCATAGCTATTGTTATATCTGGCGCTGTCGGAATACATGATGAGCTATATTATTTTGTATAATGTTCGTTAAAATAGTAAATCACTGTCACAATCTGTAGGCTACTGGAAAATTTTCTAAGCTACGATGTTAGTCGATGTTAAAAATCTCTGGCAAAATTTATAGGTTACAATGATAATTCTTAGTTACGCAAGGCTGAATGGAAGTTAAACTTTTTAAAAATTCATCTTCAATCATTTCTTATATACTTTCTGGTTCAAGATGAATAAAGAGCTTTTTGTTGAAATGTCACGCAAAGTTAACTTTGTGTGACACGTTGTTTGACACGCAAAGTTTATTTGGCTCGATGTCTTATGATGTTGTTTGACACGCAAAGTTTATTTAGGTCTATGTCTTCTGATGGTTAATTAGTGAGAATACATAATTGTATCAATATTAATGAGATTGCCTAATTATACCAATATCGTTCAAAAAGTCACGATCTAACCTTTATCACTTTAATGTTTTATCTGATAATAAAGTCAGTAAGTTGTCATCACTTCTGAGGTTTTATCTTATAATAAAGTTACGTAATTCATTAAAGAGTGATTAAAAAATTCATTAAATAACAAGTCCTAATTGATTGGATAATAGAAATCTAACACAAACATAGTTTTTGTAATTAACCAATTAACATTTTTTGTAATATCGCAAAATTAATGTACATATGTATGTTAGAATGTAAAATGTAATTAACTTGTAAGGATGTTGAAGTGAAGTTTTTATTATCAGATAAAATTTTTAACGTGAAGTTTATGCAATTAGGTTGATAAAAATAATTAACGTAATAACCTCTAAAAAATTTGTAATAGATCTAGTTGGAAGATCTAAATAGAATCAGCTCCGTTGTATTAATTTTAAATTCACTGAAAAATAAACCCGCTATCAATTGGTTAATATTCACTTTTTAATATCGCTGATTTCAATTGCGGCGGGATGGTCTAATGGTTAAGGTCGCTTGGTGCTCTTTCGCAGTTACCGGGTTCGAATATGACAAAAAGATCTCCGAGTATCATAAGCTTCATGTATGACGCGTCGTTTATCATGTATTCATTTACGATGTTTGTGCGCTATGTTGAATCCTTTGAACTTTGGGAGAGTATAATTGACCATTAACCTTTTTAACCTTAAAGCTTTACTACTGTTGTTGCAGCTTCTGCTATTAATACCACTACTGCTGCTACTACAACTACCACGACTACTATTATTACTTCTATTGGTACTGATAGTAGTGATTGTAGTGTGCGTGCGCGTGTGTGTGTGTTAAAACTCATTCGACGTGTTTTTTTTCATTCGACGACGATATTAAGACATGGTTTTTCAACATTAATCTCGACTTTATTTTTTTATTCTGGTCTATAAAACAAAATAATGCAATCTTTCACCATTTCAAAAAAGAGAAAAAGGATGAATTAGAAATATTAACGAGTAAACAAAATGTGACTTTCTCACTAAAATATAGTCATCTGTGTGATAATGAAAAACTAAAAATCATTAGATATAATAAAAGTTCATCACAGATAAAAACAATTACATCATAGAAATATGTAAATAAAATTAAAACGTTAATTATTTTAAAAACTAATAAACAGATAAAATCATAAAAAATTATGCATGTAAAATATGAACGAAAAAAAGACTAATTATAATTCTCTCGTAAAAATGCTTTAGTGAACCAGTGAAACTTCAGTATCTGTTTGACTTTTTTCACTGATCAGTTCTACCAAGCCCAACATCCAGTTTTGCAGCGCTGTTTTGAATGGGTTGAACTATCTGAGCCACACCAGCCTAGGACCAAACATGAACGAGTTTCAATGATTCAGTCCAGTGGCGTAGCTAGGGTCTTCTGCGCCCCCTACATAAAATCTGTCAAACTATATAATATAGAACTGTCGTACTCAGTATTTGAAGTAGGCGTCACGGAGTGTAGCCTACTACAATGCATTTCAGTGTATTCATGTTTCTATATGCATATTGCACCTTACACCATAATTGTATTATTCTTTCTCAGTTCTTAACTATAATATTGTAATACAAAATATTAATGATTATCATTTAATCATTTATTTGGCAAAAAAATGATTATGATTAAAAAAATGATTATAATTGATGTATATAATTAGATTCTTTCAAGTAGTTTTTATAATTCTGTATTTTTATTGTTCGCTGAGTCAGAAGTGTGAAATAAAAATTATTAAATTTAAAAACAAAACAACAGCTAAGTATTGTCTAGAAATTGTGGTTAGGAAATGAGCAGAATTTTAAAGAAAATTTATTTTTCTTGCTTTTACTGCAGCAAACTGGTTAATTATATCATCAAAATCAATCTGTTCAAGAACTTCCCTCTCCACACTCATTAGGGCCAGATCGCTGAGTTTATCTTGTCCCATGGATGCTCGAAGATAGGAAAGAATTATTTTTAATTTACTGAAGGATCGCTCACAGCTGGCAATCGAGACAGCTATAGTAAGAAGGATTTGTAGAGCAACACGCAAATTTGGAAAAACATCTTCTCCGTAACTAATAATGAATGACAAGAGTTCTGTAGGAGTCTTTGGTGCAGTATCCTGGCGGGTCTCAAGGAGCATTCTGCAGTCACATATTTCATTTAATAACTCAATTCCTTCAACATCCGAGTCATAAAAATTTCCAAAGTCAATACAATGCTGACGGAGACTGTTAAGATCTTTGTCATTCAAAAGTTTGTCTACATCAAGTAAGAATCCGAATTTGAAGTTCAGATCTTTGAGACGAGTAAACCTTGTTGTCATCTCCTGTTCGAGTCGATCTAAAATACTCTTCATGATACGAACAATTTCTTCTTCTGCCGAAAGTCCTGCATCTCGG